ACAAACATCATATGTGTAATTCAGGGCACAATTCAAACAAGATCAAAATATTTGTTGTCTCTCGCCATTGACTACCATACAATATTTTTCCGAAATAAGGTCCCATGGTGATCGACCGAAAGGGGAGGGGCTTAGGCTCTCTATAAAGGGAGTGTTCTTTAATTGTTTTTTATTTAATCCCAATTTAAATAACAGGTGATTTCCTAGCTATTAACAGCGTGAAGTTAACCATTTAGTCACTGACTTGATTTACTGACTCATAAACAACGATAAAACATTTTTTGCGACATGAATTTCAGACTGTACATGAGTCCTTACATATCAAAACTATCACTGATCACATTTTATGAACACGCTTACTTTACAGCATTTCTGGCGTTCCATGTTTTTCCGTAAAAGTCTGTTTGCTAAGCCTCTCAAATCGCTGGTTTACCAAAGAATCAACATTGAAATGAACTGAACAAACAAATAATGCTCTACTGAGACATTTACATTATTATTATATTTCATTATTATCATTTATCACTTATCGCTATTCAAAAGCACATTACATGTTTTAATTCATCATCTTATTTATAATTTTCCCACCATATTTGGTCTTGTTGAAAGCCAGGGCAGGACAGTATAACCAGGGGTCTTAAACCACCCGTCTCAAAGGACAAATGCTTTGAATCGTTCTGTTTCTCCAGAAACAAATATGTAAATAGTCATTAAAGAGGTAGTAACGTGAAAGATGAAAAGTCTGTCATTTACTTGTGCTGTCCAAACCTGAATGCTGCCATTACAGGGCTTTTCACACTGTGGGTTATTGTCTTTCTAAACCCTGATTTATGAACCTGCGCTCCAGAAGAGGGACAGCGTGAGAATGAAACAACCCATCATAAACTCAACAGCCTCGCCTCATGAACCTGATAACACTCTTTATACAGTCACAGACACAGTCAAGTGCACAAGCTTTCAAACAAATGCACAAGTGTGTAGTTTAACATGCTCTGACACATTTAGACATGTTTTACCAAGTGCACTACTCACATTTTACCATTATATCCTTATCTGTAAATGTTAGACAGTGAAAGTCACACAATTATTTCCATTTTGCAAGGTTCGTCCTGACAACAAGCGGGTCTCAAGAAACGCATGCACAACATGGAGCGTAAGACTTATGACTGAAGATTCATTTTGTTTAGATAGTTGTTGAATATAACATTTCCTTCTACATGCAACACAAATATGGTTATTGCCACATCTAGTTTTGTTGATTTCTGTTTAGGGACTCTTATTTTGATGTTGATCTCCTTCCATGGTTCCTGTGTTCTCGGTTCCTGTTTGCTTTGTGGTCATGGTTTCTAAGGCTGCGTCTGAAATCGCATACCCCCTTGAGTAGGCACTTAGTTTGAGAAAGTAATTACTTCACGACCTGTAAAAATGTATGGTCTATAGTATGACTGTAATCTGGACGTACAACATACACCATTATCATGTGACCAGTTGCGGCGCTTCACTGTCATTCACAAATCCTCTCTGGATAGTAAATGTCCATCGGATGCACACTTCAGAATCTCACCGGAAGAAGAAGCTTATCCAAGTACTTTTTGCTGACTCTTTTATGAGTATTGTGAATTCAGACACTTCTCTTGCCACATACTGTTTTTCACCTACTATATAAGAGGGAAGTATGCGATTTCGGACGAAGCCTCATCATGTTTTATTTGTTTCCTCGGTTACTGATTATGTTCTTCACCTGTGTCTGGTTAGGTTGGTCATTATCCCATGCATTTACACTCCTGAGTTTGATCCGTTCACTGTTGGTTATTGTCTATGTTGTGTATGTGTTTGTGTAACCCCTCCACCCGGGTCCTTCTCACCCCGCTCTGAGCGGGCCTCGAACCCGGGTCTCCGGCATGAGAGTCAGGCGCTCTAACAAGGAGGCTAAAGACTGCAGCCTCTAGCGTCTGTCGCTAGAGCGCCTATTGAGATCAGAGGAGTGAGGTTTACTCGCACAGCGACTACTAGCTGGCCTCCGTTACACTCACCCCCCCCCTAAACCTCACTCCCATCCGGGTCACAGCACCAATGTAACCCCTCCACCCGGGTCCCACTCGACCGGCTCTGAGCGGGCCTCAAACCCGGGTCTCCGGCATGAGAGTCAGGCGCTCTAACAAGGAGGCAAAAGACTGCAGCCTCTAGCGTCTGTCGCTAGAGCGCCTATTGAGATCAGAGGAGTGAGGTTTACTCGCACAGCGACTACTAGCTGGCCTCCGTTACATTTGCAGTTTAATTTGCCAAAGGAAAGAGGAGGCAAAGAAAGAGAGGACTCAGAGAATAAGAATAGAGCCAGAGCATTAAAGAGACATAGCAACAGTTACAATCTTCTTTTATCCCTTCCGTGACCATGTGACTAAAACCAAAATGTGAGACGTTCAAACTGACCAATCAGATAATTGCAACTTCCCCCACTGCACTAAAGGTGTGACAATTCATCGACCCCCGAAGTACACACACCTCAGCCTACAGGCCTGGCTCACTATCACATCTCGGTGCCTTAACACGGCCCTTGGGGAAAGAGGGGCTGGAAAACAGTAAAGCAAATGTCTTTGTTCGTTTCAAATATCTTGGATTATTTTCAATCCTACAATATAATGTAAGACGTCTCTCACGTTTACACACTGTAAAGTGACAGTAACTTGTTCCTGCAGAACATTCGACCTGAACACACTTTCTGTTTTTTTTCTTCAACAAAACGTATTTTTTTAACTGTTTTTCTGTCTTTAAAACTGTGGAAAAGCGGTTCTCATAACGACATTTATATTTGAAACCTTTTTGCACAGTCACTTAGTTTATTCATCCATGCAAGTGACCTTCTCATTTCTGTTTGGTGTGATTTGAAATGTCTCTGTACATTGGCCTCATCTGAGGAAGATGAAAGCTAATATAGATTTGATACGTCTCCCGCTGTGTGGAGGGTAGTCACAGAAGGACACATATACGCCTGCGATGAATCACTGTAGTTGTTAACTGTTTCTAGGTGCTTTCCTCTGTCTGGTGTGTAAAGAGTCGCTCCGGATCTGGTCTTTTTAACTGTGTTCGTCCTGTGGTGTTGTTCAGCTGTTTTCTGATGGAAACGGTGCATCTGATCACTTAGTAAAACTGCAGCTCACTCTCCTTTGACTTGTGTTGTCTATCAGTAATCAGAGTTAAACTACAATCAGTGATCACACGAATATAAATGTCTTCATGTGCATTTGATTTACATTATAGAGGTTGTGATTGTTTAAACTAGCACTGATTTGTGAATATGCCTTTACATTTGATGCGTCCCAATTAAACTGACCTGTCTATCATCTTGTCATCGTTAAAATCCTCCATTCAATCTAATTTAATTTCCTACCGTCTCTGAGAGAAATGTTGCAGCGCGTTGATCTGCAGACTCTCCTCGTGTGTTTGCAATTTGAATATAATGATGCATTTAAAAGTTAATGACCACACGTATCATTACAAAAGTTCATAATGCTGTTGCAGATGCAATATACCGTGGATAACATTGAATCAATATATTTTCATCAGGTTAGATACTGATTATTAATCACTCAAACCCCTTTATCTAAACCTCTCTACACAACCATTGGTCTCACACATCTGCCATGTTGGTAGTTGTATTCGTGTTTGTAGTTCTAATCGAATCCTCGTCCAACACACAATGGGTTGTGGGTAATATCCAGCCCGTTCTCATCCCAAGGCGTCATATACTGACGCTTTTGCCAAAGCGTCTATATCCAACGCACATGGCACCCTTTAGCGTCAATTTGAGACGCAGATATATGGCGCCTCCTAGTGGTCTAACCCTAACACTACCCCAGACCTAAACCTACCCATAACCGAAGCGTGTTATATTGACGCTAAAGGGTGCCATGTGCGTCGGATGTAGACGCTTTGGCAAAAGCGTCAGTATATGACGCTTTGGGATGAGAATGCGTTGGTAATATCAGCCGTTAACGTGTTCACGGATCTGCAAAAATAGATCATCCGGGTATCTTTGGGATACTCATTTCAACATACTACGATTTGGGACGCTCTTATTCTAATTTGGACGATCTCTAATGCTATTTTGGACAGATAGTATGTGAGTTGGGACACAGCAATTTTACTTCTTTTTAAAAATACCTTCATGTAATTACAGCTGTGATTAATTTCTGTAATTCCATTACACAGGAGCCCACCCTTACACCGACCCATACCAGCAAACCTGTCCGACCCGTACCCGTGTCCACCTCAGTAGCAGCACAAGTGTTTAACAATACAACATCAACACAATAACCACATTTTATGTAACTAGAGACGCCTAATATAAAGCGACTCTGAACATGGGAACACATAAAGCTGCAGAATCAATATTTTTGACTTGATTTTAATGTGTACACCTAATAAACACAGAGCTAGAACACTTCCGTTATACTCCACAAGCTCCAGATACGGAGAGAAACAGCTTCACTGATTCACAGTCAGCTGAAACTGTCAAACTACTACATTTATATGAACCCTGGACAAGAAACCCAGCAGATGCAATAGTGTGCAGATACGCACTCAACTCACTCGACGGTCGTCAAGGGGACGCTCCATGTCATCATTCTTCAAACATTATTGGAACGTTACTTTGGGATGTTCTGAAACAAGTATACATTTAAAAAGAAAAAACATTAGATGAACATCCAACCTAAAGATTTCAGACAAAAATGCTCAATGAATGATGTACATGTGCTGATATTTTGAGGACATTATTAAAGACCAGATAACTTTGAATGAATGTTACTTTGAGAGAACCTTGCCAGAACGTTAGCTAAAGGTCTGAGAACGTTCCCTGTCAGAGTGAATATACATTTATCCTGAAATCAGTCGCAGTTTAAATCATAAAAGCCACTTGTCATGTTGTCTGAGGCGTGTGTGTGTGTGAAAGCGGTCCATGTTGAGCTTTACGGTTGTGCTTCCCCTGTGTTGATCTGCAGGAGAACCACTGCAGGCGGATCAAGATTCTGGGCGACTGCTACTACTGTGTGTCTGGACTGACCCAGCCCAAAACTGACCACGCTCACTGCTGCGTGGAGATGGGCCTGGACATGATCGACACCATCACGTGAGTGTGTGTGTGTGTGTGTGTGTGCTGAAGCCTTCTGTTCAAGGGCAGCAGGGCTGTAAATCTACTGTTCCCTCAAACACACTGTGCTCAGTGTTCCTGCTCGCACCATCAGTCTCCAGAGGATTGTTTAGATTTACTCATATCTTACACTTACAGTTCCAGTTATGATTATGAATTTTCTGCACCATAGTTATGATGATTGAATCTTCATCACATTTGGCTCATATCATCATCAGATCATGCAGTGTGGATAAAGAACTTGTGTATTATGATGAGCACATCAGACTGAAACCCTCTGAGCTGTGAGATAAAACTGAGCATCATGGGAACATTGGATTTGAGGGTTTTTTTGCCGCATAACTCAAAAATTGTAATCAATTACCAGCTGACAGGGAACGTTCTGGCAAGGTTGTGAACACACGTTCTTCAAGTAACAGTAATAGAAAGTTATCTTGTCTTTAATAACGTTTTTAAAACATTAGCACACACACAAAAAAACATTTATACATTGTTAATGGATTTTTCTAAAACATTTAAGTATTTAAAGTCCCCATGAATTCAAAATTGACCATACTTACTTTATTCGGTAACACTTTACTTGAAGGGGTGTGAATAAGACTAACATGACACCTTCATAACCATGACATGACACATGTTATGAATATGAAGGAAGTTTTATGCATGTTTGTGACAGCTGTCATTAAGTGTCATTCGCTCAATTATGACATATTTAATGCAAATATGACATTGTTTGAGATGTCTTTGTTATGACACCTTGACATAAACCAATACATCATAACCTGTCAGTGTCTTTGTCATGAGAACTTGACATTACTAAGACAACACAACCTGTCATAAACATGACATAGCAGATTAATTATCAAACTTAAGAAACCACTTAGCTTTATTGGTTAACATTACATTAAACTGTCAGGTGGTTGGTTTTGACATTGGCTGTCATGAGGCATTATAACTGTTTAATGACAAATTCAATTTGTACCACTGTAGTTGAGGTCAAGAAAAATATTCATGACACAGTTATAATGCCTCATGACAGCCAATGTCAAAACCAGCCACATGACACTTTAACTTAATTTAATGTCAAGTTGTCATGACAAAGACACTGACAGGTTATGATGTTATGGTTTATGTCAAGATGTCATAACAAAGACATCTTAAACAATGTCATATTTGCATTCAAAATGTCATTATTGAGCGAAAGACACTTAATGACAGTTGTCATAAACATGCATATACCCTACTTCATATTCATGACATATGTCATGTCATGGTTATGAAGGTGTCATGTCAGTCTTATGTACACCCCTTCAAGTAAAGTGTTACCCATTCGTTTGCCTAAATTGATCGATGTCAATCCACACAAAAAAAATGCTTTAATCAAAATCTGGAATTTCCCCTCCCTCTGCATTGGAGGACCTTCCCTGATGACGTAGGTTTGACGGTTTGGGTGTCTTCTTAACATCCGTAACCACGCCCCTCCAACTGACAGTAGACAGGCTGAATGAAAACACCTACTTTTCTAGATCCAATCAGGTGCTAGTTGGAAAAAAGCCACGCCCACTATTTTGCCTCATTTAGTATTCCGTTTCTCTCGTAAATACGTCACAACACTGGAGAAAAGTCGTTTGCAACTTCCGGTTCACGGGGACTTTACATGTTAATACTTTCAGAATTCAAAATTCAGTTCAAAGTTAACCTGAATGTTTGAAGAATGATCACATGTAATGTTAAATTAACGTTCATTTAACCAACAAAAACATTTGAAACATTTCCACAACTTAATATGAACATCAGCTGGAAACTCACCCATGTCATATTTTAAACCTGTATGGTTTTCTTTCTTCTGTGAAAAGCAGAAAAAAAGAAGAATAAGGATAGAAGTATTTTTTTTTGTATATCCCTAAAGCCATGATTTAATAAAGGCTTTGTAGAAAACTTTAAGTGCCTTGTATAAATAAAACATCCCTTGGCCGACGTCACTTTATCCTCCAGCTTTGAACTGTACAAACTATTCTCATCTGACCCACAACTCATTTGATGGCAAAGCACCAAACATGATCTGATCTGAATCTCTGCAGCTTCACACAAGCCTTCATACAGTATGTGCTACTGTAAGCGTCCGCTGTCAGCGCCATATCAGTTTGAGGACAGCACCGCCTGCTGGTCAACAGTTAGACACGCATGCATTACAATGTACAGTTTATCTCTATCTATCTATCTATCTATCTATCTATCTATCTATCTATCTATCTATCTATCTATCTATCTATCTATCTATCTATCTATCTATCTATCTATCTATCTATGCAATTAAATTGTTTTTGAAAGTCAATTATCCTGAGAACCTGTGTTTTATGTTAAGTTTGTTAATAAATCATAACTGCTGCTAATAGATCCTGCTATATCTCATCTCTGCGTCATCCTGCTGTGACAGTAATATCCAAAAAAGCATAATAGGGTATCTTTAAAATATATAAATGGTTATTTTAAATTGTAATAATATTTCACAGTATTACTGTTTTTCACTGTATTTTTGATTGAATAAACCCAGCCTTGGTGAGAATAAGCGACTCAAATCGTACATATTTTTGACCGGTAGTATAAATAGTTGGTAACACTTTACAATAAGGTTCATTAGTTCATATTAGTTAATGTATTACAGTTTTTTTTATTCGCTTTGGTACTATTTTCACAAGTAAGGTGTACATTTTCAAAACTCTTAGTACAAAAATCCAAACTGATCACACTTGTAACGCAGCTAGTCATTCTTTCAAAACATGATCCCATGCTTTTATTACAGTTATACATTTTTCAGTCCACATAATCATTGTTTCAAACACAAGATTATTGTAATATGTAATGAGAACGTTTGGTTTAATCACAGAAACACAACAGTATGATCTTCTTTCAATTTAGTACTTTTAACAATCAGTTCATTCAACAGCAAACAATGCAAGATACATGTTTTAAATCACCCTTGTTGCTGAAATAATTACAGTATTACAGGCTACAGTTGCCACATTAGAAAATACACGTGCATTACCTAACTTATGTAATTGAATCCAGAATGTTTGTAATAGTATCTGCAGTGAGTTATCAAAAGCTGTGATGAAGTATGACACAGCCATGAGGTTCTGTGCGAGAACAGAGTTTGCTGGCAATACAGTAAATGTGTTCACTCTATAGCCTTTGACTGAATCTATATATACTGTAGTGGACCTTTACAGATGAAGGTTGAATTACAGTAATGTGGCAGTCTCTACCATGGTAATCCGTTTACAGTATCACATGGCATACATACTGTAATGTAAAATGCTGTATTTGATGCCATCTGTCTCCCTTCTACTGATACATCTCTAATCAATCTAATGTTTTACAGTCATCGACCGTTTATCTCCCTTATACTCTATTCTGCTTTACAGTGTTTTCACAAATGGCAAATTTATCTGTATCTCTCTCACACAGACATGCGTGTGCACACACTTTGAACATAGTGGTGGTTATTACTGTATCTATAAATCACTTATGTAGTAAAAATAATTCATTACATTTGGTTATCCATATCGGAAATTGCAAACAAGTTATAGAAACTGTATATACAATCAATATCTATAGAAATCTATTGGTGTACCAAATGATTAATTGATTAACCATTAAGATCATTTGGATTAAATAATAGACAAATGTATTAAACTGAACAAAAAGAGATGCAAATCAAAAGTTTGATAATAAGAGCTTTATGAAAGGCAGTTACTGTGAATGAAACAGTTATGTAGATGAAACACTGTTTTTGTGTTGTGAAAAGGATACTTTGTGATTTTGTGAATTGTACTAACACAATTGAAAACATGATGAAATGTTTGAAAAAAGTGCACTTTTGATGATCTGTTGTGATATTAGCACTAAGAGTTTTGAAAATGTACACCTTACTTGTGAAAATAGTACCAAAGCGAATAAAAAAAACTGTAACATGAACTAACAATGAGCAATAGATTAGTTACATTATTTATTAATCTTTGTTAATGTTAGTTAATATAAATCCAGCTGTTCATCGTTTGTTCATGTTAGTTCACAGTGCATTAACTAATGTTAACAAGATTTTAATAAAAGTTGAAATTAATTTCAACTAAGATGAATAAATACTGAAGAATTATTGTTTATTCTTAGTTCATGTTAACTAATGAACCTTATTGTAAGGTGTTACCAAATAGTTTTAGTAATGGCTGATTAAGTGAAGGTCACAGCGTAGTTACCCATCTAATCTTCATTTAACGGCGGAGCATATAAGCATCCGCTGTTCTGGCGTCCCTCCTCCTCCCCAGCTCCACCTGCAGACTCTAGCCATCCTGCTACCATACTCATGATCGAAGCATTAGTGTTCCCACGCAGAGGTGTACAGTCCAGGGGTCAGAAAGTAAAAGTCCTGCCATATGTTTATTCCACCCATGAACTCAGCCAGCTGAATTTACGAATTAGTTCACTCTCCTGGCTGAAAAACTGTGCTAATTAGCAAATCCAGGAGATACCAAAATACCGAGGAGGACTTTTACTTTCTGAACCTGGACTTTACACCTCTGGGGTATCGAAGCTCGAGCTGAACTGCGGACAGCAAGCCAAATACGCTTAACCCTTGTGTTATGTTGCGGGTCAATGTGACCCGTTTCGATTTTCAAGTTGTTGGAAATACTGGTTAACCTTTGTTTTTATTCTTGATATTTTGTGACTTTTTCTCATTTATCATGATGAACATGCTTGCAAAGTTTCAACATGCTGATGTGTTTTGACATATACAAACAAAATTACTGTTACGTTCGTGATGTTCGCGGGTCAATTTGACCCTCATAGGCAGCCATTCAAAAGCAACTGTACAGACACAAAATAAAAACATTTATTTTCTGTATGTCAGGGCACTTCAACTCCAGTTCTAATGTGCAAGTGCATCTAAAAGTGCTCTAACCCTAACCAAACACACTTGAAAAAGCTAAAATTGCAGTGTTCAGAATTATTTGCAAATTACAGATGAAAATCTTTGTCAGACACAGATAGTAAAATAAGCTCTCATTTCAATATTCAAAATATCTAAAATACCTAGCTTTTAACCAAAACTTTTATGTAGGATTTTCAAAGGCAGCTTCACAGAGCCAAAAAATAAATAAAAAACATTTATTTGATGTATGTTTTTGTTATGTTTGGTTTCTCACTTCCCAGTGAGTGAATAATGAAACTAGGAAAATAGGTCTTAGGAAACTAGAGAAAGTTAACTTAGGAAAATGAAAATGAAAACTTTTCATTATACAGCAATTTTTTTTTGTTCAGTTACGATGTTCAAAGCATAAAATGTAAAAAAAAGGAAAAAAAGGAAAAAAATATATGCAAAAAAAATCAGTATACTGTTTACCGGTATTTTCCAATTTTGTCAAAACAAAACTGTTTTAAAAACATTTTCATAAATCATATTTTCAGATATAATGTTTTTGTAATGTTTGACAAATGTTGATATTAAAAGTTTACAGTTTGTATCTAAATCTTTGTTGTTTTTCATAGTGTGATTTTTGAGGAATTGTATTGAATCCAATTAGGGTCAATTTGACCCGGTCCATAAGGGAAGTACACAGAAATCGAACAGAACACAAATAACCTTATGAGCTTAAAGATTATATGGAACTGGTGAAACTACTTTTCAAACTAGTGATGATAGATGATGGCTAGATGGAAGCTCAGAGACTGTGATTGTGCCGTCAGGTCGGTGGCCGAGGCCACAGAGGTGGACCTGAACATGCGTGTGGGTCTGCACACGGGACGCGTGCTCTGTGGCGTGCTGGGCCTCAGGAAGTGGCAGTATGACGTGTGGTCCAATGACGTGACGCTGGCCAACATGATGGAGGCTGGCGGACTGCCGGGGTGAGCATCTCAACCTACACTCGTTCCCGTCTCCCAGAGTCAGGCCTGATGTGTTGTTTTGGACAGTTTTAGGACTGTTGTCCTCTCATGTGATTGGTTCGCAGGAAGGTGCACATCACACGCTCGACACTGGAGTGTCTGAATGGAGATTATGAGGTGGAGCCGGGAAACGGGCGTGAGAGACACGAGTTCCTGCTCAAACACGACATCGAGACCTTCTTCATAGTGCCATCTCACCGCAGGAAGGTGTGTGCGCATAGAATATGATCACACTCCTCAACAAACTACAAATATGACAAATCTCACAGGAACCTGCTACATTTTTGTGATTTTAACTTCAAATTTGGAACACAACTTGGCTAAACATAAGGCTTTGGTTTTATAGCAATTTTAGTTCAAAACGATTTACTTCTGTAACTAGGCGTAGCATTACATTTAGCTCACGTTTCATATGGATGGTCCCTGAGGCCTATATCTGTTGATTTTCATATCACACGTATTAACGTTTTCATATTCAGTCTGCATATGGGATGGGATCTACTCACTACTATTGTGTGTGTTTTTTCAGATTTTTCCTGGTCTGATCCTATCAGACATCAAACCTGCCAAAAAGATGAAGTTCAAGACCGTGTGTTACTTACTAGTGCAGCTCATGCACTGCCGCAAGATGTTCAAGGCTGAGATCCCCTTCTCCAACGTCATGAACTGTGAGGACGGGGACAAGGTATGTCTGTTTGAATGAGGACACACTGCTGTTTGTGTGTGATGAATGTAGAATGAATGTATTTTTTTCCCAAGACAAACAGTGCCTGATGCTAATATGTAAAGCACACAGCTGTTCAGATTATCCCAGCTGCTGTCAATCTCCAGCTACGTTCACACTTTCAGTCCAAATCCCATTATTTGTTTAAACATTTGGAATATGATCTAAATTATTGACTGTCCACGCTGTGTATCACAACTGCACTCTTTGGTCTTCCGGTATATCTGCATTTTTTTATGATAATGACATTGCGTTGGTATGCCTATGCCAAAAACAACACCAGCATGACCTCGACCTTCACTCGACCTTTTCACTCGCAACAACTTAACTGGACCCATTTTATACAGTGTGAAGTGTCTTTAAAGGGATAGTTCAACAAAAAAAATGACAATTCTGTCATCATTTACTCATCCTCTAGTTGTTCCAACTCTTTATGAATTTCTTTCTCCTGCTGAACACAAGAGAAGATATTTTGAAGGATACGGGTAACCAAACAGACCCAGGGCCCCATTGACTTCCATAGAATGAAAAAAACATAAATAAATACTAGGGAAGTCAATGGGTCCCATCAACTGTTTGGTTACTGACATTTTTTTAAATATCTTCTTTTGTATTCAGCAGCAGAAAGAAATTCTTAAAGGTTTGGAACAAATTGAGGGTTAGTAAATGATGACAGAATTTTCATTTTATAGTTGAACTATCTCTTAACTACTATGTACAAACATTTGAATGAATCATTTGATACAATGCACTTATATTGTAAATGCATGCTTTACATTGTACTTATATTTAAAAATACTTGCAAATAATTACAGCTGTAATTAATTTCTTTAATTACATCTATAATTACACTATTGTTCTCTTAGGCCTTGTCCACACTAATACGTTTGAAAACGCATCTTTTTCTCTCCGTTTTGGCCTTCCATCCACACTGAAACGGCGTTTATATTTTTGAAAACGCTCTCCAAAGTGGATAAATTTGAAAACGCTGTTTTGGTGTTGTAGTGTGGACTGTCAAAATGGAGGTATTTGAAACCAATGATGCATGTTGTCATGTGCATCATGCATCATGTGACGCTAATGTACCAATAGATATTCATGTTTATACTGGTAATGTGCCTGTTATGTGCTATTCACTTTTACACAGTTGCTAAAATATGTTACTTTGCACACTTTTCATATCACAGTCCTGCAAAGATGACTGACAATTTTCTCGCATTTGCTGTCCTGTGGCAAAACATGAGAGCAGTTGAGTGCGACCTGGACGCATCAGTGAATGCTGAGATACAGTATTTTGCTAAATAAAATAATCCTGCCAGAGGAATTGCGCAACTTTATTATTTATTTTTCCGTCCATATCATCTCAGTGAGCTATTGTGAGGGTTTAGGCATGCGCAGTGAGGTAAATTTAGCATTTTCCGACGTTTCAGTGTGGATGAGAAACTTTAGGAAAACGCTACTGTGGACGGAGAGCATTTTTTAAACGAAATCGCCGTTTTCAAATGTATCCGGATTAACGTGGATGTAGCCTTAATCCACCCTTAAACCTACCCATAACACCAAACCTGTCTTAACCTTACCCGTATCCCACCCCAATATCAGCAGTGTTTTCAATGCAACATCAACAAAATAAGTACATAAGTACAAAACAATTAGTAGTTAAATACACCTACAGTATTATAAAGTGGGACCCAAAACCTTGTTTCCCTTTCGAAGTGGAACGTCTACTGGAGTTGTCGTTATGGGGAACGTGCCAGGTGTCTGAACACGTGCACCAAACATGCCAATCTATTGGCTGACGCCAGTCTATGACATCATCAGTGAATCTAAGAGTTATTCATCAGTGTCTTCCTCCATGTAGGTGATTCCTTACACCAGAGGAGAGCTCTGCATTATCTGTCTCAACCTGGAGCATACATGTGCAGCTCCAGAGGGAGCTGGATGTGCCCACTGTGACAAGTTAATGTTAAGGAAGCTCTGATCGTGTTTGTCTCTCTTTTCGAGGGGGAGGGACAATCGCCTCGTGGGTTTGCTAAGGCAGCGCGGCGACTACAATCATGAGGGTTTGTAAGTTGAGCTGGCTGAGGAATTCGGGGAAGTAGTAAATATTTAAATATCTCCTCAAGCCAGTTCAAGCGATCTACTTGATTTTGAAGCGTGCTTGCAGTTTGCAGAAAGCAAACTGGAAGTGATTGGAGAACCACGTGATGATGTTTTGAGTCTGGTTCTCCCATCAGCCCTGAAAATGGGGAACTATTGGATAGAATGGTCCACACCACTCACCGGTTATGTCTGCCCTGGTCGCGTGAGGAACAGGAAGTTGTTCGTGGTAATTTGGACAAGTGCTTCCTAGTGGGCCATGAATGTCCTTCCCCCATGAGCCTAACATTTCTTCCAGACCTTCATTGTGAGGTCTTGGAAGAAACCATACTTAGTTTGCGTTTTTCCTTTAATCACTAGCGGTTTATCTTTCAGAGGGTTAGGCATCTTCACTTAAGGCTTCGGCCTTGCCTTCAAAGCTGCGCCAAACCATCTCGCAGCTTGTGGAGAAGGTGTATGTGGCAGTGGGCCAGGCCGGTGGTGCTCTGTACATCATTGCGTTGTTGCAGGCATAGCAGGCTGACCTGCTCAAGGACTTGAATCAGGGACATAGATTGTCTCCTGAGGCGGTGGCCGAACTGGGTTGGACTATGGAACTGACACTCAAAGCCACCAAACAGACTGCTACAGCCATTGCCCGTTTTGTGGCAGCCTTGGTGGTTACAGAGAGGCACCTGTGGTTAAACCTCTTGGGGATTAAGAAGAAAGATAAATATTTTCTCCTGGACACCCAAAATCTCACATTTGGGTCTCTTTGGCAGCTCCGTTGAGATGGTTGTCAAGAGTTTCAAGGAGGCGAGGCTGAGGTCTGCCGCCTTTAGATGATTTATCCCACATAAAGCTGAGTCCAGACCCTCTGCCTCCTCTTAGCTTTCTGGGCTGTATTTCCGGGATTCCTGGAGACAGGAACAGAAGGTTAGCATGGCTGCTCCTATATCCCCTCGCCTCCAAGGAGCAGGGGGCAGAAGCGTTGCGCTGCTAAGAACAGAAGGCAGGACCTCATGGAAGTGATTACTAAAAGGCTCTCTGAAAGAGCAGCTCATTATTCATTATTCATTCTTCCACCCTCCCCTCACCCACGACTTCTCCGAGGAGGATTTCTTTGGAGTGTGTGAGGTCCTGTGAGCGCTGACAACTGGCTCTGTCATGGACTAATTATAAGGTGCATGTTGCTAGCATTGGTCGATAGACAGTCCTTTCTAATTGGGTGATTACTGCTTCTGGAAGCAATTTAATTCCTTGCCAGTATGTGTAGCACCTGTCTCTATTTTTAAGATTGAGCAGTGAAGCTGAGGCATTGTTGCATCAACCCTATCAGCTACTGATATAGGTTGATGTAAACTACCAGTTCACAAACTGAGGACTGATCATGTTCTATGTTCAGTCTCATAACATGGATGCCAGTAATAATATACATAATTCTCCTGTCCCCGAGGCCAGCTGTCATGCTCAGTCCTCTGAAACATTTCTTGAGTTGAGAACGTGTTATTAGAAAGCTCCCCTCTTTTTCGTAAGGGTGGCTACCATAATGCACTAAATGGGACAAGTGCTCCTGCAATCTAGGGTCGATTCAGGGTGAACAGGGTTGGAGTTATTATTATTCTCCACCTTGGTTTGCTCTCTTCCTGACATTAGTTGGGTTAGATTCCCCTTAGCGAGGATGCAGGGGTGTTCCCCTCAGGTATTTTTAGTCTTGGTTATAGAGTATTAGGCATACTATTTAGGTAGGGTATGAGGTACTCTCCCCTAATTATCTGTGTTCTTTAAGTAGGGCATGGCTCCCCTGCAGTCTCCTTGGAGTATAGAGCCCAGGTAGTTAGAATAAATTTGTAACTCTCATGTTCAACCTTCCCTAAGTTGAAGTAGGGATTGGCTCCCCCTTGGCTGAGCGGCATTTAAAACTATTACTATGGGTAGAAAGCATCTTAATGACATGCTCCCTGTCTTTCCTTTTGGGTGGAGCAGAGTAGATGAAATTGTAATTAATCTGAATCCGTCTGTTCCTCCCCAACAATGGCCCTAAATGATGACTTAATGCTCCCCTATAGTGGGTATCGCTCACAACTCTGGTTGACCTATACATAGGGGACCTGGCAAGTTAGTTATTAGTGTTGTCATAACAGCACTGGCTCAATTAGTGCTTGTAGGTCTCTGATAAGTAGAGCTTTAGCTCCCCTGCAGTTTACTTGCGCTATGCTCCTTGTGTATTCTCATCTCCTTTTTTTATGAAGTGAGAGCCTTTTCACCTCCTGAGAAGTAGTGGTGAATCAAAGATTGTAGTTGAGTACTCCTTTTGGACAAGCTACTCCCTGAGGGCTTTGTCAATATACTGACATAGCTAGCGTCAGAAACTTGCTCTTGTGGCCTTTAGGTTTTTACCTGCCCTTTGAGGGAGGGTGGAAGGTTATAAGGCCGGGACTTCCCTTGCAATAGAGCACTGAAGCTGAAATTTCTCTTGCTATTAGAGAAATTAAAGCTTAGGGACTGGCTCCACTAAGAAGTGTGTGGCTCGCAATTTTGTGCCTGGGGGTTGACGCGCCGTGAATCTGATTGACCTATAGAGTCAGGTTACTTTATTGCTACTATGGTTTACATACTCAGCATAGTAAGGCAGGCACCTCCTCAGCATGGTGGAGTGTGTATTTGTTCCCCATAGCGTCAACTCAAGATGCCGCGTCGAAGTTCCACTTCAAATGGGAACGTCTCAGGTTACGACTGTAACCTTGGTTCCCAGAGAAAGGGAATGAGACACGGAGTCTCGTTGCTATGCATCAGGTTGCCTGTACGTCTCCTTCAGACAAAAGAGTTGATGACGTATTTTGCAGGCGCCCTCTAATACTCGCGGGCACTCCTCTCATGATGTCATAGACTGCTTTTGCCCAATAGATTGGCGTCTTTGGTTCAGACACCGGTCACACTGATGGCATTCCCCATAGTGTCCCATTTCCCCTTCTAAGGGAACCAGCATAACCTGAGACATTCTGCAATGTCTTTCAGCATGCTTCCTTCAACATTTTACTTGGTGTGACAAAGTGGCAGATAAGCTACGCGAAATCGGATTAGAGCAGTCAGGACAGAATTGAATTCCCATTAATGTGGAATGAATGAGAAAAGGATTTCAAACCACATATGAATGTAGGTTGAAATGGATTTGTAAAAATTGTATTTAGAGGCCAGATTTACTAACAAAAAGCATCAATGCAACACGTCTTTTGGTATTAAAAAACCACTGTGAGGATTTACTAAAGACATGCAGTGAAAAATGAGGGATGAAAAGGCATGGACACAGTTATTTTTGCGGCTGATCTTATTTCATTTGCATTTGTAGGAAATTCCTTTTCAGATGCAAAATTTATGGGAGGAGAGTATGAATCATGCAAGGTTTGCGCTAGTCAACTTACTGGTATTTGCGTAATTTTTTGCATCATTATTTAACGCCCAGAAAAAGCATGCGTTAATCCATTTAGTGCTTGACATGCTGTGATAGTTGCTGTAGGAGGAGGAACCACATGGATCAGACAGCATGTGATAGAAGGGAGAGAATCTTCTCCACTCGTCTTCATTTATTTGGAATGCCAGAGGAAGACACTATCTGACTTATAATTTGCCAAGCCACGTTGTTTTTAATTCTCTGTGACTGTGTTGTTAGTAGATCACTAGTTGCTCTAGATTGCATTGGTCATTATGGAAATGAGCTGCTGCGTCTGTGTTCTTTAATTTGCGCCTTGTCAGTAGATTCACCCGCTGAAGTTTCCTCTCCCATCCCATCATTACGCGTATTTGCCCTGTTTAGTTAATATGGCCCAAAATGTGATTTTTTTTGCCACATATATATGATTGGATTCCAATCGGATATGCACAAAAATCAGATTTGGACTGACAGTCTGATAAAGGCTTCACAGCTTCATGATGTGATCGTCCGTTGGCAGAGGAGGGTTCTCCGCTCTGCACCGGAGAAGCTAAGGAACCGCACATCGACGGCGGCCAGCGCCGCGCAGAGCAGCCCGGGGACACGCGTCAACCGCTACATCAGCCGTCTGATCGAGGCCCGGCAGACGGAGTCCGACACGGCTGACCTGAACTACCTCACGCTCATGTACAGAGACTCTGAAAGAGAGCACCGGGTGAGAGCCATAAACACTTCATTAACACGTGTCATCACTGTGTGAAAGATTTTCCAAATGATTTTTTATTAACAAAGTTCGGGAAGAGCACGTTCAGATAATTAACCTAATTAGCATGGGAGGAGCTCATCCAGTCAACTCAATTAGCATCAGGAGGTATATATATAGCAGACTTACCTCTGTTCTATGTCAGTTTTCCCTCCACCACCCCATCTCCTCACTTCTAACTATTCCTATCCCAACCTGGGATGGGCGGGTACTCTGGGTTCGGGCCAAAATTCTGAGCTTGGAGTCCTCCCCTCAGGCAGTACGCATAACCTTTACTCTATTTAATTATATGTAAGTGTGAACTTGTGAAAGCAGGTTTCTAAACTAGCTGAAAGCTGCTTGGTTTGAAAGTGACTTCAGTGTGAGCTGTGCTTCATACATCGCTACACTACTGAAAATAGATAATGGACCTTTATTGCCCGTGAAATCTCGCTAAAATTTCACTAATGTGACCGTACCACTGTGTCCACACCAGACTCGAAGCGATACGATTCCAACAACAAGCAGTTTGTCTGTCCACTGTAATCAATCACAAATCACAACCAATCAGGAGAGTGTGTGGGCGGAGTTTCTCTGCAGGCACACTGGACTCACAACCAAATGGATATGCACGTAATCAAATTCACCATCTACTCTTGAATACACTTGTCACAGTTCGAATGTTCTTGTTTCCTTTCATTCATTCTCAAGATCTGAGGTGAATTATCCATTATCGCTTTCAGTATGGCCATAAATGATATTCAAAGTCACATTAGACACTTTTAACATTAAATAAAGCACATAATCAGTATTCCTGAGATTATCATTATCATACTTTGTATGTTGTTGTGCCAGCCGTGACGTTGCAGAAATAGAAACAATTTCTAAAATAGAATCATCACATATCAGTGTTGTGGCTGGTTAAGACAGAAACTGTGCCTTTACAACAAAGAAGCCTTTTATCACGCCGCAGAGTTGAGTCTGGTTAGGACATGGTGTAAACTCAGCCATGAACGTGGATTTCGGTCGAATGTAACTGCTCAGCATTTCTCTTCTGTTTTTGACCATGTTTAAGCAAGTGCTCTGAGAATATGGCATTGACAGTGTGATGTGTGTGTTTAGTATCACCAGCTGAATGACGAGTACTTCACCGGCGCTGTCGTTCTGTCTCTCGTCCTTGCTGCTCTGTTCGGCGTCCTCTACCTTCTCATCACACCACAGTACGTACAGCAGGATTTCACTCAGCCACACGTGTTATTGTTGTGACAGAGAAACACTCTCCATGGTCAATATTATGAGGAGGACGCCCCCTTCAGGCGGCGTCTCATCGCTACACATACAGTGAAAATCTAGAGTGTGCTATGTTTTAGACATTAGTTTCTCTCATCGCTTTGGCTTAATTCTCAGTTTTTTTCTCTAAACAATAAGTAATATCTTTGAACAATTAATTTCTTTTTCACATCAGATTTGAATGTAGTATTTAAGCAAATTGCATGTGTTTTGGCACATGTGTATTGTAAGTGTCTAATGTCTATAATTTGCACAATAACTAAATGCACATGGCTTGTTGATCAAAACTGATGATTCTCAGTGAAATTGTCAAACTCTTCACAACTTCTAAATATTCTTTGATCATGTGAGCCATCACAGGCAAAATGATCCAATCAGTGATCAAAGTATGGCAAACATGCATGTACTATATACCATAAATATCTGACATGCAATATTTGTAATGTTTAATACAATAAGTTTCCCCCCAAAACAGACTTTAGTCATAATTCATATTTTAAGCTGATCTGTTGTTTGTATTGTATTCTTGCAGCTCTGTAATGAAATAAAGTGATCAGACTCAGACAGTAGGGTTTGCACGCTCGCTCCCCTTTAAATCACGATATATGCGTCGGAATATCACCATACCATTTTTCTCTGTTTCACAATACTTAACTAATGATTGTAAACTGAGGTTGGTGTCATTAGAAGAAGTATCTGTGCTGAACTTGATATAAATAATAGTGTCAGTTCTTCTGTGCATTGACTAGTATTATTATTTTTCATGTTTTGTTGTGTGTGTGGCTCTCAGGGGGACTGTTGTGCTGGTGTTGCTGGTCTTCTGCATCTGCTTTCTAGTCGTGTGTATCATGTACCTGCACATCACGAGAGTTCAGGTAAGAAACTCACTCACCCGGGCCGGCTAGATCAAACTAGTTTCATGTTCGGGTTCAAGACTGTCATAAGCTTTTCAAAAAAAAAAAAAAAAAAAAAAAAAAAAAAAAAAATATATATATATATATATATATATATATATATATATATATATATATATATATATATATATATATTAAGGCCGGGACTTTAACACGTTAATTGAGATTAATTAATTACAGACTTTAACACGTTAATTTACAAAAAAAATTTTTTTTATCGCACTCATTTTTGCACCGCGGAACGTTTCTCACTGGATGAGTTTCGGCGGACCGATTATACTGGTGCACCAACTAGCGTTCATGATGAAGAAGCATGTGAAGAAGCTGACGAGATCGCTTGCTTCATAGATCGCTTTGGTTGGCCCCGTGGATGGGAAATTTTGTTATAAAAACGGATGGAAGCGTCGATAAGAGCATGGTTGCGTGCAAGTTATGCAACAAGGAATTCGCTATTGCTACACTTAATGGCAAAAATTGCACTGGTCTGCTGGACTTGGTTGAACAAAAATAAACAAAATGTTGTTGATTAAGCTTATGTATTGTCATTATTCAATGGTATACTAAAAATCCATGTGAAAAAAAATTACTTCTCACTGTTCTCAGGTCAATTATTTATGCAATTAAAATGCGATTAATTTCGATTAATTAATTACAAAGCCTCTAATTAATGAGTCCCGGCCCTAATATATATTTAAATGTGTGTAAATATTAAGATTTTCTTAGCTGCATTGCAGTGAAAGTTTGTAAAGATTGCTATATAAAATTGCATTAAAGGGTTAGTTCAGCCAAAAATCTGTCATCATTTACTTATAAACCCCAAATAACTTCTGTTCATCTTCAGAACACAGATGAAGATATTTGACCATAGCATTAAGTAGATTTACTTGTTCATATTTTGTAAACTGATCTTCCACCATGCGAGTCTTCTCCAATCTCTGTCTGTCTGCCTCAGTGTTTTCCAGGGTGCCTCACCATACAGATCCGGACCGTTCTGTGTGTGTTCATAGTGCTCTTAATATACGCTGTGGCTCAGGCCTGTGTGGTAAATCATCTTACAATCATTAACAATACTGTAAAGAAGCCATGTGTAGTATCATCAATCTCTCTATCTCTCTCTCTCTCTCTCTCTCTCAGGTGGGATGTTTGCCATGGCTTTGGCCTGCTAACTCCACACGCTCCATCGTGATCATTGACCCGGCCGGAGGGCTGAACCGCACCATGGCCGAGCTGCCATGTGAAGGCGCCCAGTACGCCTTCCTATCCTGCATAGTGGGCACGCTGACCATGGCGCTGTTCCTGCGAGTGTCCTGGCTGCCCAAAATGATCCTGTTACTGCTGATGGTGGTGCTGTACATCACCGTCCTGGAGCTCAGCGGATTGAGACGCTCTTCAGGGTGAGAGACGGCTGATTCAGGGCACTGAGCTCTCCAAAACACGGTTATATATAGATCCCTGTGTCTTGTGATGGTTGCAGTGAGCGATGGAGACAAGGAAGATCTAAATAACAATCTTTATTGTCTTTAAAAAAACAGGCGATTGTGATATTTAAAGATACTCAGACAGCAACATAGTGTCGGCCCAGATCCGGCCCACATCTGGTACACGTTGAATCCACATGTGGGCCGCATCTGGGCCGACACTGTTGCTGTCTGGGATCTTACTCATCCTCTTCCCTCTACTTCTGAAATCCTCCCATCTGGACACACACTTAAATTTCCCATGGCTAGAACAAATATGACTGCATATCAAAGAAAATGGTTTTTAAAATTTTTTCTTAAGAAACTGCATGTTTTGAATGTTCAGCAAACATTCAGAAATAATGTTTTCATAATGTAAAGGGATGGTCAGCTATACTTTGTTAGCTGGGCTGAATCAGTGTGTTGACTCTGCTGATGTGTGTTTGGGGTGTAGTTGACTGTATTTTGTTAGCTGGGCTGAATCAGTGTGTTGACTCTGCTGATGTGTGTTTGGGGTGTAGTTGACTGTATTTTGTTAGCTGGGCTGAATCAGTGTGTTGTTGACTCTGCTGATGTGTGTTTGGGGTGTAGTTGACTGTATTTTGTTAGCTGGGCTGAATCAGTGTGTTGACTCTGCTGATGTGTGTTTGGGGTGTAGTTGACTGTATTTTGTTAGCTGGGCTGAATCAGTGTGTTGACTCTGCTGATGTGTGTTTGGGGTGTAGTTGACTGTATTTTGTTAGCTGGGCTGAATCAGTGTGTTGACTCTCTGCTGATGTGTGTTTGGGATGTAGTTGACTGTATTTTGTTAGCTGGGCTGAATCAGTGTGTTGACTCTCTGCTGATGTGTGTTTGGGGTGTAGTTGACTGTATTTTGTTAGCTGGGCTGAATCAGTGTGTTGACTCTCTGCTGATGTCTGTTTGGGGTGTAGTTGACTGTATTTTGTTAGCTGGGCTGAATCAGTGTGTTGACTCTCTGCTGATGTCTGTTTGGGGTGTAGTTGACTGTATTTTGTTAGCTGGGCTGAATCAGTGTGTTGACTCTGCTGATGTGTGTTTGGGGTGTAGTTGACTGTATTTTGTTAGCTGGGCTGAATCAGTGTGTTGACTCTGCTGATGTGTGTTTGGGGTGTAGTTGACTGTATTTTGTTAGCTGGGCTGAATCAGTGTGTTGACTCTGCTGATGTGTGTTTGGGGTGTAGTTGACTGTATTTTGTTAGCTGGGCTGAATCAGTGTGTTGACTCTCTGCTGATGTGTGTTTGGGGTGTAGTTGACTGTATTTTGTTAGCTGGGCTGAATCAGTGTGTTGACTCTGCTGATGTGTGTTTGGGGTGTAGTTGACTGTATTTTGTTAGCTGGGCTGAATCAGTGTGTTGACTCTGCTGATGTGTGTTTGGGGTGTAGTTGACTGTATTTTGTTAGCTGGGCTGAATCAGTGTGTTGACTCTGCTGATGTGTGTTTGGGGTGTAGTTGACTGTATTTTGTTAGCTGGGCTGAATCAGTGTGTTGACTCTGCTGATGTGTGTTTGGGGTGTAGTTGACTGTATTTTGTTAGCTGGGCTGAATCAGTGTGTTGACTCTCTGCTGATGTGTGTTTGGGATGTAGTTGACTGTATTTTGTTAGCTGGGCTGAATCAGTGTGTTGACTCTCTGCTGATGTGTGTTTGGGGTGTAGTTGACTGTATTTTGTTAGCTGGGCTGAATCAGTGTGTTGACTCTGCTGATGTGTGTTTGGGGTGTAGTTGACTGTATTTTGTTAGCTGGGCTGAATCAGTGTGTTGACTCTGCTGATGTGTGTTTGGGGTGTAGTTGACTGTATTTTGTTAGCTGGGCTGAATCAGTGTGTTGACTCTCTGCTGATGTGTGTTTGGGGTGTAGTTGACTGTATTTTGTTAGCTGGGCTGAATCAGTGTGTTGACTCTGCTGATGTGTGTTTGGGGTGTAGTTGACTGTATTTTGTTAGCTGGGCTGAATCAGTGTGTTGACTCTCTGCTGATGTGTGTTTGGGGTGTAGTTGACTGTATTTTGTTAGCTGGGCTGAATCAGTGTGTTGACTCTGCTGATTTGTGTTTGGGGTGTAGTTGACTGTATTTTGTTAGCTGGGCTGAATCAGTGTGTTGACTCTGCTGATGTGTGTTTGGGGTGTAGTTGACTGTATTTTGTTAGCTGGGCTGAATCAGTGTGTTGACTCTCTGCTGATGTGTGTTTGGGGTGTAGTTGACTGTATTTTGTTAGCTGGGCTGAATCAGTGTGTTGACTCTCTGCTGATGTGTGTTTGGGGTGTAGTTGACTGTATTTTGTTAGCTGGGCTGAATCAGTGTGTTGACTCTGCTGATGTGTGTTTGGGGTGTAGTTGACTGTATTTTGTTAGCTGGGCTGAATCAGTGTGTTGACTCTCTGCTGATGTGTGTTTGGGGTGTAGTTGACTGTATTTTGTTAGCTGGGCTGAATCAGTGTGTTGACTCTGCTGATTTGTGTTTGGGGTGTAGTTGACTGTATTTTGTTAGCTGGGCTGAATCAGTGTGTTGACTCTGCTGATGTGTGTTTGGGGTGTAGTTGACTGTATTTTGTTAGCTGGGCTGAATCAGTGTGTTGACTCTGCTGATGTGTGTTTGGGGTGTAGTTGACTGTATTTTGTTAGCTGGGCTGAATCAGTGTGTTGACTCTCTGCTGATGTGTGTTTGGGGTGTAGTTGACTGTATTTTGTTAGCTGGGCTGAATCAGTGTGTTGACTCTCTGCTGATGTGTGTTTGGGATGTAGTTGACTGTATTTTGTTAGCTGGGCTGAATCAGTGTGTTGACTCTGCTGATGTGTGTTTGGGGTGTAGTTGACTGTATTTTGTTAGCTGGGCTGAATCAGTGTGTTGACTCTGCTGATGTGTGTTTGGGGTGTAGTTGACTGTATTTTGTTAGCTGGGCTGAATCAGTGTGTTGACTCTGCTGATGTGTGTTTGGGGTGTAGTTGACTGTATTTTGTTAGCTGGGCTGAATCAGTGTGTTGACTCTGCTGATGTGTGTTTGGGGTGTAGTTGACTGTATTTTGTTAGCTGGGCTGAATCACTGTGTTGACTCTACTGATGTGTGTTTGGGGTGTAGTTGACTGTATTTTGTTAGCTGGGCTGAATCAGTGTGTTGACCCTGCTGATGTGTGTTTGGGGTGTAGTTGACTGTATTTTGTTAGCTGGGCTGAATCAGTGTGTTGACTCTGCTGATGTGTGTTTGGGGTGTAGTTGACTGTATTTTGTTAGCTGGGCTGAATCAGTGTGTTGACTCTGCTGATGTGTGTTTGGGGTGTAGTTGACTGTATTTTGTTAGCTGGGCTGAATCAGTGTGTTGACTCTCTGCTGATGTGTGTTTGGGGTGTAGTTGACTGTATTTTGTTAGCTGGGCTGAATCAGTGTGTTGACTCTCTGCTGATGTCTGTTTGGGGTGTAGTTGACTGTATTTTGTTAGCTGGGCTGAATCAGTGTGTTGACTCTGCTGATGTGTGTTTGGGGTGTAGTTGACTGTATTTTGTTAGCTGGGCTGAATCAGTGTGTTGACTCTCTGCTGATGTGTGTTTGGGGTGTAGTTGACTGTATTTTGTTAGCTGGGCTGAATCAGTGTGTTGACTCTCTGCTGATGTGTGTTTGGGGTGTAGTTGACTGTATTTTGTTAGCTGGGCTGAATCAGTGTGTTGACTCTCTGCTGATGTGTGTTTGGGGTGTAGTTGACTGTATTTTGTTAGCTGGGCTGAATCAGTGTGTTGACTCTGCTGATGTGTGTTTGGGGTGTAGTTGACTGTATTTTGTTAGCTGGGCTGAATCAGTGTGTTGACTCTCTGCTGATGTGTGTTTGGGGTGTAGTTGACTGTATTTTGTTAGCTGGGCTGAATCAGTGTGTTGACTCTCTGCTGATGTCTGTTTGGGGTGTAGTTGACTGTATTTTGTTAGCTGGGCTGAATCAGTGTGTTGACTCTGCTGATGTGTGTTTGGGGTGTAGTTGACTGTATTTTGTTAGCTGGGCTGAATCAGTGTGTTGACTCTCTGCTGATGTGTGTTTGGGGTGTAGTTGACTGTATTTTGTTAGCTGGGCTGAATCAGTGTGTTGACTCTCTGCTGATGTGTGTTTGGGATGTAGTTGACTGTATTTTGTTAGCTGGGCTGAATCAGTGTGTTGACTCTGCTGATGTGTGTTTGGGGTGTAGTTGACTGTATTTTGTTAGCTGGGCTGAATCAGTGTGTTGACTCTGCTGATGTGTGTTTGGGGTGTAGTTGACTGTATTTTGTTAGCTGGGCTGAATCAGTGTGTTGACTCTGCTGATGTGTGTTTGGGGTGTAGTTGACTGTATTTTGTTAGCTGGGCTGAATCACTGTGTTGACTCTGCTGATGTGTGTTTGGGGTGTAGTTGACTGTATTTTGTTAGCTGGGCTGAATCAGTGTGTTGATTCTGCTGATGTGTGTTTGGGGTGTAGTTGACTGTATTTTGTTAGCTGGGCTGAATCAGTGTGTTGACTCTGCTGATGTGTGTTTGGGGTGTAGTTGACTGTATTTTGTTAGCTGGGCTGAATCAGTGTGTTGACTCTCTGCTGATGTGTGTTTGGGATGTAGTTGACTGTATTTTGTTAGCTGGGCTGAATCAGTGTGTTGACTCTCTGCTGATGTGTGTTTGGGGTGTAGTTGACTATATTTTGTTAGCTGGGCTGAATCAGTGTGTTGACTCTGCTGATGTGTGTTTGGGGTGTAGTTGACTGTATTTTGTTAGCTGGGCTGAATCAGTGTGTTGACTCTGCTGATGTGTGTTTGGGGTGTAGTTGACTGTATTTTGTTAGCTGGGCTGAATCAGTGTGTTGACTCTCTGCTGATGTGTGTTTGGGGTGTAGTTGACTGTATTTTGTTAGCTGGGCTGAATCAGTGTGTTGACTCTGCTGATGTGTGTTTGGGGTGTAGTTGACT